CACATCTAGGGCTAAGTTGTAGGTACAATTGTCCATTATATGAATAATTATCAACAGGTGAATGGATGCTTTCTATGATTGGCCAATGGAAACTCAGAAAGGCCAGTTCGCTCTGGTCTCAGCTTCAGAGATGGAAGTCCACGGCCACATCTTGCTGTTCTACACAGTAGACCATTTTTGTCTCTACCAAAACCTGCTTCCCCGCTTTACCCCGAGGTGTAGATTCCTGGACCACTCCCAAATAAACACCACACACAAAATTTCAACTCAGGGCTGGCTTTTCCAGAAGTCTAACCCACCATAAGCAAGCATGCCCGACACGCACAGATGTCTTACTTTCAAGCAGTAATATCCAATGATGCAGAAGAAGGAGATGACGGTGTGGAGGACAGCTAGGATGCGCAGGGTGGGCTCCATGTAGCCGCTGCTCTCCTCCAGGACATAGTGAATGGCGATGATTCTGGGCGAGCTGCTGTCCAGACTGCTGGTCACTTTCACGCTGTCGCTGGGGCTCCGGGTGGGCAGCTCCTTTCCCTCAGTCACAGAAGAAGTGGAGACCTGATTCAGACCATTTAAGATATCGTCAGTCACTGCATAATGGGCCACCACAGACAAAAGATGATGGAGGCACAGCCTTTGTGAGCAACTGGATGTGGAATCATTGTGAAATGGTATTACAGAAAGACCGAAAGGAAAGGCTCTTAGGATCACTTGTTCAATAGCAAAGACAAGTGATAAACTGGCTTTTCAAGTTCATGCTGGGCTGGCAAGAAGGATCAGTGGGTGCCTGACAACCCAAGTTTGATTCACAAGAACCACACGGTGGAAGGAAAGAACTGACTGCTGCAAGTTGTCCTCTGACCCACATGTGCACCATGACACTCACGTGCATGCACACTTGCGAGCGTGTGCACACACGCACACACACACACACACAAAGTCATAAAATTTTCTGGTTCATGTTAATTCAACCAGAGTTATAAGGATCCCAACCTGTACAGGAAGATACTAGATAGCACTCTTCCAAATTATCTGAATAACTTAATGTAACTGAGGTTCTATCACATCCATGCATTGTAGTAAGTAAGGTGTTCGACTGCATCAGTCTGGGAACTTTCAGGTAAGCCCTTGTAGAATCCTCTTCAGCCCAGCAAACTGGGGCTCTTCCCCTTCCAGGAGCAGATCTGCCTTGATTCCCAGACATCTATGATGTGCCCAGGCTTTGGATTCTGTGATTCGTTCAGATGCATTTTAGAATTGGTTTGAATGTGCTGACTAGGGGCTCACAGAGAAGTTACCCATCTGTATGTAGTTGCACCTACCTTAGAAGAGAACCATCCTTCCCCCAATGCACCTACCTTATAGAAGAGAAGGATGAAGTTGATGGCGAACGCGACAAACAGGGCCAACATCCTCATGTTGTAAAAGTTGCGGGCAAAATAGTTCTGAAGGTGGAAAAAGTTAGGAAGGGGTCACCGAGTATGAGACTCGAAATGTGCAGATGCTTGAGCAAAGTGTTCACTCACTCACTCCAAATTGCAGATCAGGAGCCCACTGCATATGGAGCACCACACTCAGTGCTGGAGACACACAAAGGAGAGGCTTCCACCCATTGAAGAGACAGCAAATAGAAAATCACACCCTCACATGTGAAAAGCAAGTTTCAGGGAGCGCTAAGTGATATAATGAAAAATACATAGGGTGGGTTTACGTGTGAGGTATAGTTTGGATGGGGCTGAAACAGCTTATCTCAGAAGATGAGCGTGACTCAGGCCCGGGGTTGGCAGGGGAGTAAATTGGGTCAACATTTGGGGAAGAGTGTCAAAGAGGAGGGTGGTGAGAACAGGGCTCTAAAGTAAGAGTCAAGAATGTTGTGCATTGTGGAGGTTTGAACAAGGACATCCCCCATAGGCTTCAAGTATTATGGACATTTTTGTCCCTGGTTGGTGGCGTTGTTTGGGGAGGTCTTAGAAGGTGTGGCCATGTGGGAGGAAGCACGTCACCGGGGGCAGGCTTAGAGAGATCTTAAGTCTTGGGGGATCTCGAGTTGCCCTCTGCTTCCTGTGCCTGCTTGAAGATGTGAAAGTCGGCTTCTGCTCCTGCTCCAACCACCTCTGTCCCTTCCCACCATGACAGAGAGTGATCCCCCTGGAACCATAAGGTCAAATAAACTCTTCCTTTTATAAGTTGCTTTGGTCAGTGTTTCTACCACAGCAACAGAAAAGTAACTAATACATGCGTGAACCCCAGAGAGAAGCAAGGAGAGGGAGAAACTGGGGTCAGGCGGTGAGCAGTGGCCAGGTTCTGAAGGCTTCTGATAAAGGTTTGTGTGGATGTTACGGTGCACCAATGCACGACCTTTGAACCCATCCATGACCTCTGAGGCTACACTACTGGGATACCAAGCCTGTTCCTCCATTTGGAACGTGGATTAAATGACCTAATCCTTCCTGGAGTCCATCTTGTCTTGTGTAATATATTAACAAACCCACCTCATCAGTTTCCTTTGAGAAGTAAATAAGTGAATATGAGCAAAATCAGTTATTCGTACTATTCTAATATAAATAATCAGATGTGATAGTTTGTAGGCTATCACTATGTTATCATTACTGTTTTATTCTAGGTGGGGTGGGACACTGTGGGACAACTGAGGACTTAGTGCAATCATATTGACTTAGAAACTACTCTGGCCATTGTGTGGAAGAGAGTGAAAGGGACAGGACCAGTGACCAAGTTCCTACAGGACTGCAGGAAGAGGTGATGTTGGCGATGCTGGCATTGGTGGCAGCTGTACACACAAAGAGAAGTGGGAGGATTCTGGAGACGCTGGAGAGATGAGCTGAGAATTACTGTTGGATTGCTAGAGGTGGGGCAGGGAGGACTCAAAGACAAGAGTTTCGGAATCTGGGAGCCTGAGCAAATTCTTAAATGAGCTGGAAGGATCCCAAACTGGACCACTCACACTGTGTCTCCTAGAAGGAAGGAACTAGGACTAGGTCACAGAGGCTGAATTACTGAATTATCAGTTCAGGATTGTCACAAAGCCTGGAGGACAGACACCTTTGGGGACCTCATGTGGCCATGACGGGTCCTGTGTGTGCCAACTGGCAAGCAGGGACCATCGGCTGCAAAGAGAAACAGGAAAGTGGCCAGAGAACAAAGGAGCCCAGGGAAGACTTGAAAGAACAAACTCTGCTGACTGATTCCCTTCTGCAACTGAGACTCGGGACACGCTCTTCAGGAACCCGAGGGGCTACTGCAGGGATCACAGAGCCCACCCAACCCCCAGAGCAGCTCTAAAGACTATGCCCGCTGCTGTGGCAACCACTGAGGTATACTGAATTAATGACTACCCGGAGTTACTGCAAAAGCTTTTATGTCCAGTGGACTCTGTAGTAAATAGTATAGGGAAAATACATGGTTTGGGGAACATGGTCTACACAACAGACTGGATGCTCTGTGGAGGATGGTCTTTTCCTTTTCATTCCTTTCTAGGGAATAGTTTTGAATTATCAAACGCTGGCTCTGTGGAGGATGGTCTTTTCCTTTTCATTCCTTTCTAGGGAATAGTTTTGAATTATCATCAGTGAAACGCTGGCTCATTAAGCTTATGTGTACACACACACACACACACAAACACACACGCACACACAGGTGGGAAGATGACTCATTTGGTTCATTTGGTATATAAAGTACATGTACACTAGGAGGTGTGTTGTGCCTAGCTTACGTTCTTCTGTTGCAGGGCCTCAGAAAATACACTTGACTGGTTCTAAAGTCTGGGAGGGTTCTGAGAGCACTGTGATGTGAGCCAGGAAGCCAAAGGGTGTCAGGTAATGTGAAGGTGTGTGGAGGGCATGGGTTTTAGCCAGTGTGGAAGTGTGTGGAGATAACTGGGGTCAGGCAGTGTGAACATGTGTACAGGTCATGGGTTTAATGATAAGGAGCAGTGGTTCAAAACAAATGTATTTACAGTAAAAAGTGAACACACTAAGGCAGTCAGATAAAACACATCCACCCAGCCCACTGTCTCCGCAGGCTCTACATTCATAAATACAACCAATTGCAAAAAAGAAAATATTTGGGTTGAGCATGGTGGCACACGGCTTTAGTCCCAGCACTCAGGAGGCTGAGGTGCACGTATGTCTGTGAGATCAAGGCCAGTCTGGTCTCCACATACAGCTCCAGGCCAGCTGGGGCTATAGAGAGACTCTGTCTCCAGTGGGCAAAAAAGAAAAAAAGAAGAGAATGCTTGGAAGAATAAACTGTCTGCACACTAAACATACACTTTCTTCTCTTTGCATTATACTTAAATAATACACTATAGCAACTCCCCCCAACCATCTCCACTGTTTTGGGGATTGGACATCATCTAGACAGATGAAATTGCACAGAAACATGGGCGCAGGTTACCCAGCATGCCTCCATTGTTATGGAGAGACTTGAGCACTCTTGGCTGGAGTGGTGGAAGGGTTTTTTAGAACCGACTGTCACCAGGAAGAGCACTGACTAAGTGCTCGGCCTGAATTATCTTTCTCTCATATAGTAATAACAGCCAGTCCCAAAGCCTCACCAGGAGTTTCTGCTGATAGGCTATGATTTTCTTCCAGAACGCCGACTCTGGCACCTCGGGTTCCCCATAGCGGTGTGTGTGAAGCTGCCGCAACTTCTGCTTGCTCTTGTCGTCTTTGGGCTTTTCTTCTTTCTCTCCATCTTGCCCCCTATAGAAAGAAAGAAAGTATAAGCCACCCAGAAGCCACACAACTAAGCAGGTGCTATGCAAATCCTAGTGACCAAACCCTGGAATCACAGCATCAGTCCTTGTGTCTATGTATGTTATCATGTGTATGTGTTCATGTGTGTTCATGGACATGTGTGCATGAGGTTTCATGTGCACATGTATGCATGTGTGTGTGGAGGTCACAAGACAGCCCGAGTGTCCTTCTTCCGTAGGTGACCAGAAACTCACAGAGATCTGCCTGCCTCTGCCTCCAGAGTGCTGGGATTAAAGGCGTGTGCCACCACACCGTCACATCACACCATCTCTTACTGGTCTGGGGTTCACCCTTCAGGCTGGGCTGACTGGCCAGCAAGTCTCAAGGATCTGCCTGCTCCACCTCCCGATGCTGGGATCACAATTACAGGTCACCACACCCAGCGTTTGTATGTGAGTTCCAGATCAAACTCAGGGTCATATACCTGTGTGGCAAGTACTTGTGGACCACCATCTCCCCAGCCCCGACACTAAGTTCTGTTCCAATGAATCATAACATTCTGGATTTTAGACCAAGGGGTAAGATCTCTGATCCCTCAGAGATGAGTAATTATATGGAATTCAAATCTAGAGGACATTTTTCCAGATTTACCAGCCCATAATTCAATTTTTTAACATTTTTCTAGTCATTGAGACTTAAAATCAGGGCATTTTTTTTCACATGTATAAAGTACACTAATTCAATAATATGCTGAAACAGATAATTACAGTTACTTAATTTGATTAAACAAACTATATTCTTTTTAATATCAATATAACGTTATTGATACATTAATTCCAGATAACAACAGAACTAGCACCAGAAGTTTAATAACTGAAAACTTTCACTTATTTTGTGTGTGTGTGGAGGTCAGAGGACAACCTGCGGGGGTAGGTTCTCTCCTTTCAAGATGTGGGTCCCAGGGATCAAACTCAAGTCATCACACTTGGCAGCAAGCACCTTTACCTGCTGAGTCATCTCGCTGGCCCCAG